TAGAAAGGAAGGCTGTGGCTACTCAAAGTCAACATGGATTCCTCAAAAGCAAGTCATGCCAGACTCACTCAGATCTTGATTTTAGGAAGGCATTCGACATGATTGTCTTGCCAACAAACTAGTTCAATATGGGCAAGGCTACTATTCAGTGGATCTGGAATTGGTAATGCGACCGAACCCAAAGGATGCTTCTCCCCAATGGTTCCTCCTCTTCATCCTGGAAAGAAGTGACTATTTGGTGGATTCGGTGGATTCGGTCCTGGGTCCAGTCCTGGTCAACACCTTTATTAATTACTTCGATGAAGGTTTAGAGGGCCTGCTTATCAAGTATGAGGAGGGATAGCTAATACTCCAGAGGAGAGGATCAGAGTCCAAAATGACTTTGATTGATTGGCCTGATAGGTGTCTGGAGGAAGAGGGAGACTCAAAGGATCAAAGGTCTGGAGACCATGAATAATCCCTCTGAGGAGCGTCTTAAAGAACTTAAAGAACTGCAGAAGAGAAGGTTGAGAGGAGACAGGAGAGGGGCCATGTATCAATATCTGAAAGGGTGTCCTAAGGAAGAGGGAGCAGGCTTGTTTTCAATGGACTCAATTGAGCCATGGGTTCAAAATACAAGGAAGGAGATTCCACTGAACATTAGGAAGAGCTATTCAACATTGGAACTCTCTGCCTGGGAGCGTGGTGGAAGCTCTTAAACAGAGACTGGATTGCCATATGTCAGGAATACTTTGTGCTTTTCCTGCATAGCAGGGGCTTGGACTAGATAGCCTTTAGAGGTCCCCTCTAACTTGATTATTGTTAATTATTGTTATTATTGTTGTTATTATTATTATTATTATTATTATTGATGCCAAATGGCCATCTGCTGGGGTTATTATTATTATTATTATTATTATTATTATTATTAAGGCCAGGTGGCCATCTGTCAGGGTGCTTTGATTGTGCTCTTCATGCATGGCAGGGGGCTGGACTAGATGGTCTTTAGTGGTTCCCCTAACTCTATTATTATTATTATTATTATTATTATTATTATTATTATTATTATTGCCAGGTGGCCATCTGTCAGGGTGCTTTGATTGTGCTCTTCATGCATGGCAGGGGGCTGGACTAGATGGTCTTTAGTGGTTTCCCTACCTCTATTATTATTATTATTATTATTATTATTATTATTATTATTATTGAGGCTAGATGGCCATCTATCAGRATGCTTTGACTGTGCTCTTCTTGCATGGCAGGGGGTTGGACTAGATGGTCTTTAGAGGTTCCCCTAACTCTATTATTATTATTATTATTATTATTATTATTATTATTATTATTATTATTGAGGCCGGATGGCCATCTGTTGAGGTGCTTTGACTGTGCTGCTGCCTGCATGGCAGAGGGCAGGTCCCCTCAAACCTATCATCATCATCATCATCATCATCATCATCATCATCATCATCATCAAGCAGAGGCTGGGTGGCCACTTGTTGGGGTTCCTTTGATGGTTCTTTTCCTACATGGGAAGGGGTTGGACTAGATGGCCTTGAGAGGTCCCTCCCAACTCTGTTATCATCATCATCACATACTATTGGGGTTGCTCTGGTGGTTCTTTTCCTACATGGGAAGGGGTTGGACTAGATGGCCTTGAGAGGTCCCTCCCAACTCTGTTATCATCATCATCACACACTATTGGGGTTACTTTGATGGTTCTTTTCCTACATGGGAAGGGGTTGGACTAGATGGCCTTGAGAGGTCCCTCCCAACTCTGTTATCATCATCATCACACACTATTGGGGTTGCTCTGGTGGTTCTTTTCCTACATGGGAAGGGGTTGGACTAGATGGCCTTGAGAGGTCATTCCCAACTCTGCTATCCTGTGATTCTGATTCTTGCTTCTCCTTCCAGCCAAGGACATGGCTGCGGTGCAGAGGACGCTGGTGGCCTTGGGAAGCTTGGCCGTCACCAAGGACGATGGGAACTATCGCGGAGACCCTTCCTGGTTCATGAAGTAAGTGGCCACAGACTCTTGCATCGTACCATTTGACCGCAAGTCACATCACGGCCCCGCATTTTGCCACGGCTGTGATGCAGAGAAAGGTTGTATTCACATTATTATATAATGGAAGCTTTTGCCTCCCTGTTGCCTCATTTGCTTTTGCATAATTCTGGCGAATGTAATTCAGGGAAGCCAGGGACCTCGATTGCAGAGAATTCCACACATCACTGCCCAGGATTCTGCAAAAGCAAACCGGGCGATTGTGTTATTGATTCTAGACGGTAAGACTTGGAGGATTCTGCCTGGCGAGGAGCGCTAATACTCAATAGCCAATAATCAATAATGATAAACCCAAAGTTCCAGATGAAAACTCACCAAAGCAGCTGGAGGCAAGGACAGGGGCATTTGACTCTCCATCCTGATTGGTGACGGAGACTTGTGGGCATCTCATACACACACATATATACACATACATACATACATACACCCTAGTCTTCCCCTGCCACGTGTTGCTGTGGCCCAGTCTGTGTATGTGAGTTTTGTGTGTGTATATATTTGTGTATATATTTGTGTATATGCGTATATATGTGCTTTTGCACATGTGTCGTAATGTATATTTTTTTTGGTTTTAAGTCTCTTCTGCTGTGTTTCCAGTATTTTATGAGTGATGGTCACTTGTTGGCCTGAGAGGTGTTGTGTGTCCAAATTTGATGTCAATTCGTCCAGTGGTTGTTGAGTTATGTTAATCCCACAAACAATCATTACACACACACATACACACACTTACATGCATACACATACACTAGCCGTCCCTTGTCACATGTTGCTGTGGCCCAATCTGTGTATATGTGTTGTGTGTGTATATGTTTTTGTGTATATTTGTGCATCTGTATATATATGTGTGTTTGCATGTGTATATATATTGTGTGTGTGAATGTATATATGTATATAATATATATATATATATATATATATATACACACACACATATATATATATATATACACACACACACATATATATATGGCTTTGCACACGCATTGTAATGTATTTTTGTTTTTTTTTTGGCTTTTTAAGTCTCTTCTGCTGTGTTTTTCAGTGTTTTTATGAGTGGTGGTCACTTGTTGGCCTGAGAGGTGTCTTGTGTCCAAATTTGGTGTCCATTTGTCCAGTGGTTTTTGAGATCTGTTAATCCCACAAACGAACGTTACATTTATATTTATTATTATTTTCTAGCCGTCCCCTGCCACGCGTTGCTTTGGCCCACATGGGGGTTCTGTGTGGGAGGTTTGGCCCAATTCTATCGTTGGTGGGGTTCAGAATGCTCTTGATTGTAGGTGAACTATAAATCCCAGCAACTACAACTCCCAAATGTCAAGATTCTATTTTCCCCAAACTCCACCAGTGTTCACATTTGGGCATATTGAGTATTCGTGTAGAGTTTGGTCCAGATCCATCATTGTTTGAGTACACAGTGATCTCTGGATGTAGGTGAACTACAACTCCAAAACCAAAGGACACTGCCCACCAAACCCTTCCAGTATTTTCTGTTGGTCATGGGAGAACTGTGTGCCAAGTTTGGTTCAATTCCATCATTGGTGGGGTTCAGAATGCTCTTTGGTATTGTAGGTGAACTATAAATCCCAGCAACTACAACTCCCAAATGACAATAATTTTTTTTGAGTGAAGGACATACATTGGGTTGTTAAGTGTCTTGTGTCCAAAGTTGGTGTCAATTCATCCAGTGGTTTTTGAGTTATGTTAATCCCACAAACTAACATTACATGTATATTTATATTTATCTCTATACCTCCACGTCCACCTCCACCTCCACCTCTGTATCTATATAAAATACAAAACTGAAATATCTCACTTGTTTTTCTGTTTTTGCCTTGGCTGTAGAGTATAGAATTGTAAATGCAGTAAAGGTATCCATTTGAGACTTGAGAAAAGAGTGATTGATATATATATATATATATATATATATATATATATATATATATATATATATATCTTTATATATATTTATCATTACATGGAAAACAACAAGATATAGAGAGAAGAGAGAAGAGAGAGAAATACGTGTGATATATATATATATATATATATATATATATATATATATATATATATCAATCACTCTTTTCTCAAGTCTCAAATGGATACCTTTACTGCATTTACAATTCTATACTCTACAGCCAAGGCAAAAACAGAAAAACAAGTGAGATATTTCAGTTTTGTATTTTATATAGATACAGAGGTGGAGGTGGAGGTGGAGGTGGAGGTGGAGGTAGAGGTAGAGGTAGAGATAAAGGTAAATGTAAATGTAAGTGTAAGTGTAAATGTAAAGATAGATAGATAGATAGATAGATAGATAGGAGTTGCAGTCCAAAACACCGGGAGGGAATGCCCAAGTTGGCCATCTGCTGCCAAGCGGTATTGACCCCTTTGTCTCCGTCTCCGCTGCAGGAAAGCCCAGGAGCACAAGCGCGACTTCTCAGACAAGCAGCTGAAGGAAGGAAAGAACATCATCGGTCTGCAAATGGGGTCCAACCAGGGGGCTTCGCAGTCGGGCATGACGGGCTACGGGCGGCCAAGGCAGATCATCAGCTAAGGCCGACTCTGGACCCCCAGAAGACCCCCAACGCAGCCTGCCCATGACCCTCCTCCTTTCCTTCCTTTTTCCTTCCTTCTGCGCTTCCTCTCTTTCTTCTTTACATTCCCTTTCATCCTTCCTCCCTTTCCTTCCTTTGTGCCTCCCTCTCTCCTCCCTCCCTCTTTCCCTTCATCCTTCCTTCCTCCTTCCTTCCTTCCTTCCTCCTTCCTCCTTCCTTCCCTTTTCCATTCCTTCCTTCTTTTTTCTTCCTCCCTTCCTTCCTGTGCAATCCTGCTTGGCTGCAAAAGGCATCCTCTCACCTTTAGCCACGTACGATCCATGAAAAAAAGTTTCAAAACTTATTACAAAATTCAGACATGCCAGCGTTTTGTTTCTAAAGTGTTTCTAAAGCGCAGTCAGTGAAAATTTCATTCCTACGAGAGTGACAAACTTTTGTTGTCGTTACTGCGCACGTGGGGAAGTTTTTGGGGTTCCTTTCTCCCCCATTTTCACAGCTATTGGGGCAAAACTTACTATGATTATAGAACACATTCACCATTGTGAGCCCGCCAAGTTTCAGAATATTTCACTCATCCGTGGAGTTTTGGGGAATTTTCAAAGCTTTTACAAAACTATATATATTTTAAAAACCACACATGTGGGGACGTTTCCGGGGTTCCTTTCTCCCTCATTTTCGCAGCTATTGGGGTGAAACTTGCTACTATTATAGAACACATTCACCCCTGTGAGCCCACCAAGTTTCAGAATATTTTACTCATCCATGGATTTTTGGGGAATTTTCAAAGTTTTTACAAAACTATATATATATTTTAAAAACCACGCACGTGGGGAAGTTTCCAGGGTTCCTTTCTCCCTCATTTTCGCAGCTATTGGGGCAAAACTTGCTACGATTATATAACACATTAATCACTGTGAGCCCGCCAAATTTCAGAATATTTTACTAATCCGTGGATTTTTGGGGAATTTTAAAAGTTTTTACTATATATATATATATATATATATATATATATATATATATATATAAATAAACCACAAGAGCGATCTCCTTGACTTTTCTATAGAATGACACAAGGCAGCAGGGGATCATTCCCTCCAAGTTTCAGAAATATTCATAGATCTACTGATATATAGTATTTTTTTAAAATTTTGACAAAAGAAAAGCCACAACTATCTCCTGAAATGTAGTTGAGGGCAGGGCCTTTTGCATTCTCTGGCCTAGGGCTCCTTGCCTTCCCAAACTACATTTCCCAGAATCCTGTGCTTTCTCCATCTCTTTCCCAGCTCACTCAGCTCATTCCGCCCTCCTGCTTTCCTCTCTTCTTAATTTAAAGAGGAATGGCAGCCTTTTTGGCTTTGCCTCGCTTGCGCTAAAAATGACACTGTGCTATAAAACAGGCATGATTTACGCGCATTACAGAATTCAAATGAAAATGTTTTGGGTGAGTTTTGATTCTTAAGTTTTTGCATGGCAGGCATCCCCCAATGTTTCTTAATATCTGTTTGTATATACAAAACTTACGAATTAGATACGACTTACGATTTAGTAACCAAGCTTTGCACATCCCGACTGGATACCTTTCCCACTGCCATGGCTTTGGAGTCCCCCCTCCCCACCCCGAAATATGAAGTCTTAATTGGGTGGAAGCCAAACTGGGCACCAAAGGGAGGAGAAACGAGCCATTTTTCCACTCGAGTCTAATGCGCCATTGACTCTCGGGTGCAGCTCAATTGGCAAAAACGTGAAACCCAATCAAATGAAATAAAAGCTGGCAAATGTAATGTGCAAAAGCAGCAAAATGTGCGCTCTAGTCTTTGTCATTTGGCTCCCAAAGGTGTGCCGTGTGCATTGCAGTGGCCACCTCTTTAGGTGCCTTCTTTTAAAATGAATGGGATGGAAAAGAAAGCCTTAGAATGCATCTTTGCTGCAGAACGCATCCGCTCGAACTGCCTTGGTTCAATGCTATGGGATGCAGTTTGGCAAGGCCTTGAGTCTTCAATGACAAAGAGGGCGGGTGACACTGCAAACTACAAATCCCAGCATTGTATAGCATTATGGCCATTACATTGGAGATGCTGAAATATCCCAGCATTGCATTGCATGGGATTTGGATTGCATTAAGGTCATTACATTGCATTGCATTGCATTATGGCCATCACATTAGAAATTCTGCAATGTCCCAGGATTGCATTGCATGGGATTTGCATTGCACTGTGTCCATTACATTGCATTGCATTATGGCCATTACACTGGAGATTCTGTCACTCAAATAGGAGCTCCACCAATGCCGCACCAAACTACAAATCTCATCATTGCATTGCATTATGGCCATTACATTAGAGATTCTGAAATATCCCAGGATTGCACTGCATGGGATTTGCATTGCACTATGACCATAACATTGCATTATGGCCATTACATTGGAAATTCTGCAATATCCCAGCACTGCATTGCTTGGGATTTGCATTGCATTATGGCCATTACATTGCATGGCCATTGCATTAGAGATTCTGCGATGTCCCAGGATTTCATTGCATGGAATTTGCATCGCACTATGTCCATTACATTGCATTGCATTTTGGCCATTACATTGGAGATGCTGCAATATCCCAGCATTGCATTGCATGGGATTTGCATTGCATTATGACCATAACATTGCATGGCCATTACATTGGAGATGCTGCAATATCCCAGGACTACATTACATGGGATTTGCATTGCATTATGGCCATTACATTGGAGATTCTACAGTATCCCAGGATTACATTGCATGGGATTTGAATTGCATTATGGCCATTACATTACACTGCATTGCGATCATTACATTGGAGATACTGCAATATCCCAGCATTGCATTGCATAGGATTTGCATGGCATTATGACCATAACATTGCATGGCCATTGCATTGGGAGATGCTGCAATATCCTAGCATTGCATTGCATGGGATTTGCATTGCATTATGACCATTACATTGCATTGCATTATGGCCATTACATTGGAGATGCTGTCACTCAAATAGGAGCTCCACCGATGCCTCACCAAACTACAAATCCCAGCATTGCAAAGCATTATGGCCATTACATTGGAGATGATGCTGTCACTCAAGCGGGTACTCTTATAGTCCCTTCCCTTTTTGCTTTGGCTCGTCATTAAGATGCATACTCTAATATTGGGGAAGCAATTTAGTCCAAATAAAGGAGAGCATAAGATTGGAGTAAATACAGTATTTTTTTCTGCAAACCCTTCCCTGAAATGAATGTTTCCCAGACTCTGGCATAATCGTTGCTTTGGACTCCAACTCCCATAATGCATGATTGTTGATGCCAAGGCTTCTGGAAGCTGAAGTCCAAAGCAAGGTTAGAGCTTGGGACTCGTTGCTAGAAATAAACCAAGCATGGGCCAACTTGGGCCCTCCCTCCAGGTGTTTTGGACTGCAACTCCCACAATTCCTAACAGCCGGTAGGCTGTTAGGAATTGTGGGTGTTGTAGTCCAAAACACCTGGAGGGAGGGCCCAAGTTGGCCCATGCCTGCTATAAACCAAGGAGAGGAATTCCACCCCTTTTCTTCCTTCCTGTTTTGTATTTTGTTGTTGTCGTCCGTCAATTAAAAACAAATACGACATTTTAGAAAAGCTTTCTTGGTCGTTTATTTGGAGTCTGAGTCCCAATTCCATCGCTGGGAAAAACAAAAGTCTGGAAAAGCTGGACAAAGGGGGGGAAATAGACACAACGAGGTGAACAACACACAAATAACACAATGGGAGGGAGCCAAAGGCACCTTTGGTCGGAGTGGGTTTATTCTTGGAAAGCTGCAAAGGAAACCGGTTCCGGCTGTCAACATTGTTGTTTTTTTTTTAAAAAAAATGCTAATTAATAATATTAATTATAATTATAACAACAACCTCGGCTTTGGTACGGAGGTCGTCCTCTCTGGATGGACAGAGGACAAAAAAGCATCATCCCCTTAAAGCAGGGAATAGAAAGGGTCATTCAGTAAAGGGAAAATGCAAGCATTGGCTTGGGGGTGCCGGGATGGATGGACGAACGGCCGGACGAACGGCCGGACGTCCATGCAGAAAGGCATCCCAGTGAATGCTGGCACTGACCGCCACCACCCCATTGCACGGCTATTGCAAGACCATCAACGCAATGGGGGAGAAAAGCTGCAACCAAAAGGCCACTGAAAGCAAAGGCAGAGAATAAAGGGAGAGGTTCTGCACCAAAGGCCTTGAGCCGCCAATGTCCACAACCTGCAGCCTTCCTCTTAAGAGTAGTTCCGTAAACAGGAGTGAGACCACTCCAACGTCCATTCCAAAGGGTCTAAATACACAGAAGTTGACTGCAAGTCTGGGTCCGGCATCCAAGGCGCAGTCCAGGGTTCTAGTCCAGGGTTCTAGCACAGTCTGGGGTTGTAGCACAGGTCTAGTGTCCAAACGTTGTCCACGGTCCAAGTCAAGTACCTGCAAGCTCCATCTATAGCAGTGTTTCTCAACCTGGGGGTCGGGACCCCTGAGGGGGTCGCGAGGGGGTGTCAGAGGGGTTGCCAAAGACCATCAGAAAGCACAGTATTTTCTGATGGTTATGGGGATTCCATGTGGTAAGTTTGAGCCAATTCTATCATTGGTGGAGTTCAGAATGTTATTTGATTGTAATGAACTATAAATCCCAGCAACTACAACTCCCAAATGGCAAGATCTATTTTCCCCAGACTCCACCAGTGTTCACATTTGGACATATTGAGTATTCATGTCAAGTTTGGTCCAGATCCACCATCGCATGAGTCCACAGTGCTATCTAGATATAGGTGAACTACAACTCCCAAACTCAAGATCAATGCCCATCAAACCCTTCCAGTGTTTTCCATTGGTCATGGGAGCCAAGTTTGGTTCAAATCCATCGCTGGTGGAGTTCAGAATGCTCTTTGATTAGAAGAGCAATCCCAGCAACTACAACTCCCAAATTACAAAATCAATCCTCCCCCAACCCCACTAGCATTCACATTTGGGTGTATTGGGTATTTGTGCCCAGTTTGGTCCAGTGAATGAAAATGCTTCCTGCATATCTGATATTTACATTATGATTCATAACAGTAGGAAAATGACTGTTATGAAGTAGCAATGAAAAC